CGATTTCCTCCCTTAGATAATTCAAGATACAGATTAAAAGAGTCATAAACATTTGAGATCAGATTCAGTCCCTAAAGATTCCTTCGACAACTCAAAATCATCGCAGATGAGAAGATCAATTCAAAACCAATTTGAGAAGCCTCTCTCTTCCCCATTCTTTATTCTTTATCCCTCTAAAATTTTCATCATTAACTTATGATATAATTTTTTGATTATGATTATTCATGGATTTTAGGAGAACATGTAGGATATTTTTTTAAAATGCATAAGAAATTGTGTTGTTTTAGTTCCTTTGAATGAGTTCAAAAATACTTTTTTTTATATATACAATTACTTCACTTTGATTTTATTACTCTTGAGTCCATGTCTTAAAAAAAATGATTGATGGGTATGTTTTTTTTAAAAAAAAATAATCAATTTGCTAGATATATTCTAAAGTCTATTGAAAAATTATTTAATCATAAAATGCATTAGTTATTGATAATGCTATACCAAACATCCATTTAAAAAGCTTCAACAATTATAATGGTGAAAAATGTATAGTTACCTATAGATAAATAAGAAAAAAGAAAAAGAAAGAAAAAAAATGAAGAAAAAACTCTAATTTAAAAAGAAAATAGGCAACTCACTCTCTCAAAGAAAATGAAATACACTCTTTATGTCAACTCAACACTTAAAATAAGTTATTTATTCTAGGCCAAATACATATACAGATTTCTAAACTTGTTGGTTTTTTCCCCTCAGGTATCTCAACTATGTTATTTTCCTATTGAATCATTGAATCACCCATAATTTGTTCCTTTTAAACACTGTTGGTTGATGTGGAACTAGATTTTGTGAGTGTATTGATAGACATGATACATATGTTGTTTCAGAACACATTAGTTCAATTGATAATGAAAATGTTTGAGAATATTTGTGTTTTACTTCAAGTCATTTGAACACGTTATAAAACAAACGAGACTAATAACACACAGTTTGTCTTCATTCCTTCAATCAAAATCATTATAATATGAACACAATTGAAGACATTTACAATAGAAAAGTAGATCAAAATCAGTCAACGTTGTTTAAAAGGAACAAATTATGGGCAGTTCAATGGTTTAATAGGAAAATGACATAGTTGAGGTACCTGAGGGGAAAAACCCAACAAGTTTAAGAATCTGTTTATGAGTCCGGCCTATTCTATATTAAGGTAGTTCAAGGGGGTAATATAACTCTCGCGAAGGATCAGGGGAAACTCAACATAATTCGAGGCCTAAAGCGAAATTTTGATTAGAGGCCTAAAATTTAAATAAATTTTATCTGGATGTATTTATTTTTAAATTATTTAGGTGTAGATTATTCCTTAATATCTTTTCATAAATGATTTTTTTCAAATACCTTTTTAAAATATTGTTTTTAAGCAAGATTTTATCAATTCAACATGGAAAACATCATTTATTGAGAAAATTATTATATGAATCGATAATATAGTTCTATAAGTAATGAGTTCATAAATTTTAAATAAAGATAAGGGTTAAAATAATAGAATCTGATTCAAAAAGTTGATAAATTGGCATATCCTACTTTAATTTGAAAATTACGAAGAAATAAAGAATATTTGTTATTTATTTTGTTCAACACTTTTTCACTATTGACTCATATATTGACAAAAAGACAAAAAGTTGTGAGTGTTAGCAAATAAAGAATATATATATATATATATATATATCTTTTTCGTGGAAAACTTAAACATGATTTTTATATATAGAAATTTGAGGCTCCCAAAAATTGGGAGCCTAAGGTAATAATTTAAAATATTATAGGCAAGAGCCGGCACTGCGAAAGATAAATGTGCAGTTATAAATCGAATAATATACGCTGGGAGTCAACAAAAAATTCTACACTAATTTAAAATTTATAATGCAAATAAAACTATGCTAATGAAAAATAGAACTACAAAATATTGCATAACATCAATGAAGCGAAGGTTAGGTTGAAAATGAAAAAAAAAATGGAATATAAGTGATATAAATAAAATATAAAATAAACTTTTAGAATATTTTAAAACAATAACAATAAAAAAGAATTCAAAATAATAATAATAAAATATAAATTAAAATTTATCAAAATTTACAGTCCCTTTATGTAAATCGAAGACCGTAATTACTCCGTCAATTATATTCAATTATATGCTAACCTGATCCATCAAACAGGTCCAAACAATATAATTAAATTGAATATAATTATATTTAATTTAATTATCTCACTTTTGAATTCGATAATTTTAAGGAGTTTGCTATGATGTAATAAGAGGGAGAGAATAAGAGCTAAGTTTTAGGTGACAAGTGCGGCTGTTTAGCCACCTATTCAACTAATCTTTTTCCATGGCAGCATGCATGCGTTTCGTCTTTGCCGTTATTTATTACCAACTTTTCGTATGAGTTTGTGATATTACCAATTATGAATTTAACATTTTTAAAATATGGATATATTACTAAAAAGAAGAAGAAAAAACATATTGAGTATTCAATCCTACTCGTCTAAGGGAAACAATTCAACATTCAATTAATTTTAACATTTTTGACATATATACATATTCTCTCAGATTCATTTTGTATGTCACTCCTTATATAAATAGTTGGTTTATAATATTTGTTATTTCATAAAAATAATATATAAATTATTATAATGTTTCTTTTTTATTTTTATAAATTATTAACCTTAAAATATATATATTTGACCAACTTAAAAAAGTTAAGTAAATAATCAATATTTATTAATTATATTAATTAATCAAAATAAATTAATGCATATTCATGATTGAAAACATGAGTTTCAAAAAAATTAAATAAGGATTGAAGGATACTAAAGTTACATAATTTATAAATGCAAATAAAAAGTAAAAAGATAAATTAAAATAAAACAGAAGAATTAGTTATTAAAATAAAATAAAATCACGAATTCATGTGCCTCTAAGTTTACCTATATTCGCCAACAACTAACTGTTAAAATAAAATAAAATCACGAATTCACGTGCCTCAAATTTTACCTATATTCGCCAAGGTGATCCTACTTCCTTCTTTGCCTCATAAGTTATAGAGTAAAACCTCTATAAATTAATATAGGTATAACCATGAAATTTTATTATTTTATAGAGATATTATTAATTGATAAATTAATTTTTATTAATTTAAAGAACGATTTGAGATTTAATAAAGATTAGTTTTGAATCTATCATAATCATTATATTTTTTTACTAATTTATGCATCATATTTATTGATTTCACGTTTTTTTTTAAAAAGTATACATAAAGTACAATGAATACATCAAAATCATAGTTTCTTACTAATTTCAACCTTATGATGTTGGGATAATAAGATATCTCAAGATGTATTATTAAAAAGATTTTGTTGTAGGATATTAAAAGACTGTGAAATGGGACAAACTAATCCAACTAAGGTTAATTTTGGATGCAATCAATTTCGCTATTCCTGTTTGGACAATAAATATATCTAAGACAATAGAAAGTTGTTTTTGACACTGTGCAATTCCTCCGGAGGATGCGATCTCAATAGATTTAAATGAACCTACTAGTGAAAACGTCATTCATGAACTTGAAGTTACTGACGAATAATCTCGGTTATTATAATAAAATGGATGTCAATAACCTGTTGAATTATTCGGGTGAAAGTGATAAACGTTCAGAGGTCCAAATCTAAAAAAAATTGTGGATACCATCGAAAAAATCAATGTTGATGATGAAGTTGAAGATGGTATTATATCTTTGGAACCAATTACGCATAAGGAAACGCTTATCGCATTTAGAACTCTTCATATTTTATGGTGCAGTTCGAAAAGACAATACCGTTGCTCTTGGATGCAATAAAAAAACTAGAGATTAGCTTCAACTAGATTTAAATTTTAAGAAAAAACAGAACAAATAGAATCATATTTTACTAAATTGTCTAGATATATTTGTGTTTTTAAAGAATTATTAATTTATGATAATAATAGATCATATATTTATATAGGGGCTTCTGAAAATATATTATCATATTATCTTTTCAAAATTGATAGCTTTTTTCATTGACCCAAGTCGAAACCAGAGAAAAAAATTATTTTATGAAGATTATTAATTTGTTAAGTATTTATTTATATATGTTTTACCGTACGTTCCATGTTATTTCTTTATTCTTATTTGTCGAATTCGAGTTATAAATGAGTGTCGTATGATTCAACTGTGTTTATAAGTCAAATAACTGCATTTATCTATTTTTATTATCTTAATTAAAACTTTTGAGAGTTGATTAAACATTTTATTCACTAAAACTCTTTTTTTTTTTAAACATTTTAAGTTATTAATTATTTTAATTTATAATATTTTTTATTAGTTTCTAAATATTTAGAACATAATGTCCTAATATAATCAAAATGTAGAAGTTTGAATATTGAAATTTCATTTCTATCACATTATTAATTGGGACTAGAGAACAAAATCTAAATGCGTGAATATTATAACAGTTAGCAAAAAATAAATTAAAATCAAGGTACTTGATGTGCCTTTTCTTTTCTTATCCAATATTGATTCTTTTAGAGATTTATTATTTTTTTGGGTAGAATACGACAGGATAGGATATTCATGGGATTTGTTATTTTTTTATTAAAATAAAATAGATAATTTTCATTGTTTCAAATTTAAATGATGAGATAAAGTATTTAAATTAATTAATATTCATAATTGAATATATGATAAAATAATTTCATAATTTTTCAACAAAATTGATTATTCGCAATTAGCAGATCCAATTTAGTTTTAGTAGTATTATCAAAAATTGTGGCGTAGTAGATAAATTTATTGTTTTCTTAATTAGAAATTTATTTCGAATTCAAAATATGAAAAGATTTTTAATACAAAGTATTTATCACAAATAGAATTCTATGCCGTAGAAAGTCAAATAAGTTGTGATCCTGAATTAGTATGATAGTGATGGAAATTTAAGATATAAAATAAAAATTAACAGCGGCAAAGTAAGTTTGGATGTTATTTTAATGTCTCACTCAAATTTCATTACAAGGCCCAATGCCAAAAATAAAATAGATTAGGACTCTTATACATGTAGTAGATAAAGGATGCTCGTGGAAGGGCACGGACTTAAGTATTGAAACGTAAATAAAGAAGAGATGATTAAACTTGATATCTACACAATTTTGAGACATAAAACAAAAATTGTTTGTGGAAAATAACATTAGACTGGGAGTTGGTTAAAAAGGCTAAATAATTTGTTTTCTTTGAACATATTACTAAAACATATCACAATCTCTTTTGGTCTTTCAGCTAAGGTCCAAAGTTTTTGAAGCAATACCACAACCTTCTTGTTTGAAGAAGTGGAAGGAGTTTATCTGTGACGCGACAATAATGTGATTGTTACAAAAGTGTTGCTAAATGATACAAAAAGAAATAAATGATTTTACAACATACCTGATGAAAGTAAAATTGCAAAATGATGGATCTTTTGATTGTCTTTCACCATTGGCAATACTAACCTGTACATCCTTTCGTTGATTTACAATGAGATATCATCCTCATTGTGTACCATATTCTCCTTACCCTTCTTATATTTTGCTTAGAAATTCTTTTACTTCCTCTTAGTTAAATTGATCGAGCTTAACACTATGCAAGAACTTACAAAGTATAGAAAATAAAATAGAAGAAGTGACTGATCGATCCACTCCTAATAACTTTAGGCACAATCCTCAATTCTTTTGGAACTATCATCGACACCTATCAGTGTCCTAAAGGACATTGCAAGCCTTTGTGTCTTTCTGATCAACAACTCATCTTGGATTCATACTTCTCTAAGAGAAGTATAATAGCACAACTAATAACCCCATAATATAATAGAGCCTCACTCTCTTATACGAAATTTCAAGCGGAGGCTACAGACAGGAACAAAGAAGATATAGTTGCCTGCTACATTTACCTATGAATAACTTACGAAAAGATGAAAAAAATGAGATAAAGAATCTTTGATATCAATAGTTTCACTTCCCTGTGCCCTTGAAATTTTTGATTATTTATTAGGGGAAAAAGTTACTACACAACAAGAAAGGAAAATGCTGATAAATGTAAAAAGCGTCGAAATAAAGAAAAGAATCAGTTCTAGTTGATTTATAATAGCTATAAGCACACACATTGATTACCTAGGCGTTATGATTATAATTCACACGAGAAACATTTCCAACAACAGATTTTGCAGCTGGGCAAAATAACTTTTATCATACCAAAACGTAAAAAAAACTACCTAAACTTTAACAAAGAACTGAAGAGGTGAAGACTAATATCTAATTACATCAATGCAACCCTAATTTCCCGGCTAATAGCAAAAAAAGAAACAATGAAAATTCTTGCCAAATAGTTGGCTTATTTAGGCATTTCATCGAACACCTTGGATTCACCTATTCGAAATAGGTTCACTGCTAATTGTCTGAAGCGAAACACCATTAGAGAACAAGCACGCATTGAAGTATCTATTTGTACATATGCATGTGAAGATTGTATAAAAATACAGGAAAAATTGCTCAGAAACAAGGACAATCAGAGAAATTAGTTGGAGAAACACTTACCACAATAGATCTGAGGCAAATTAGCCACAAAATGTGTGAAGTTTGAAAGAAATTCATTGCTCTAGAAACTTGGATATAGGGAAGACGAAGAGAAGAAGCAGAATGAGACGGAAACATTGACCCGATGTGAGGCAAAACAATGCGTCAATTTTGCGCTAAACCACGTATAGTATGTTAACCAAAAATATAAAAATATCTGATAGTCCGACGAATCCATCTAATCTACGTAAATACCCCTTATTTAGAATGAGGCGACGTGATAGCTTTTTATTATTTTGATCGGACGGAAAAACCATCACTTATTAACAATGATGATAATGATAATTTATTCATTTGTTTTTTACAAAATATGGTTAACTATTTGTGGGGAAATTGATAATTTTATCAATATTTGATAAAATTATCAAATACTAGAGCGGCAAAATTTGGACGATAATCAATGCTTTTACCATCGTGTCTCCCGCTATTGTGCGCCAACGGAGGTATTCGCTTCTACACACGTGGAATCTCTGCTAAAATATCTCAATAAATTATTCTTCATTTTTTACACAACGAATTTGGATTTCATTTTATGTTTTATACACTATTATTATTTTGTGTTTTAATTTCTAGTTTTCTGGTATTTTTAATTATATTTAAATTATCATATTAAAATTTAATTATATAAATATTTAATATTTTCTTTAATTTATTTTTAATAAATAACATATATAATACTAAATATTGTATCTTGAATTCTTTTTCTCTTTTTGGATGATGAAAAGAGTATCCAACAATTGAAATTCATAAAGCTAACCTCAAATTCAACGTACAGAAGTTTCTGGAAATTTGGACAACCTTCCTTTACCTGCAAATTTAATTATATCCAAATAATTTTTATTATTACTAGTGCTATCATTGTGATATGTTACTCTCTTCGTCTATATGATATGACATTTTACAATATATTTTTATATTATATTGATATATAAAAGATTGTAATTTATCGTATTTTCTATATAATTTTTAAATGTTTAAATTTTTTGTTTAAGATATTTAATTAAGGTAATTTAATTTAATTTTAAAAATTAGTTAAATTGACTTTTGAAAAACAAAACATGACAAATAAAAATGGATGAAAGGGAATAGTTATTATGAATTAAAACATAAATAAATATTGATATAATTATATTTTATCTTTTATATAAGCTAAATATTAGAATTCGAATAATTTTGTTTAGTATAAATAAAAGAATCAACCAATTAGTAAGGAATTTAATAAAATTGAAGTTAAAAGAGTATTTTAAAACCAAAAAAGTAAAAGAAAAATTATTTCTAATAAGCCGAAAAATAAAAATGAACCATATTTTTAGACGAAAGAAATATATAATCGTTTTTAAATACTGTTAGCCCTTCAATTAATACATAAATCATGAGAGTTAGCGATTTTACTTCACCTGTAGAGTTGTATTATCTACTGTGTGCCGCGTGGCACATGATCCACGTGCATAACCAATGTGTGTACACTTGTAACTTGTCCAAGTATAAACGAAAATGTCGTCGTGTGTATTTCACTTTTTGATTTGAATAAAATAAAAGGTAAAGAATGGAGGAATGTGGCAAAAGTAGGATTGAGAGTGTAGAATCCAAGAGGAAATCACGTTCTAGAAAAGGTTGTATGAGAGGTAAAGGTGGACCAGAGAACGCTTCATGCACGTATAGAGGCGTGAGACAAAGAACGTGGGGTAAATGGGTAGCAGAAATTAGAGAACCGAATGGGGGTGCACGAATTTGGTTAGGTACTTTCAATACTTCAGTGGAAGCAGCCAGAGCCTATGATGATGCAGCACGCAGGCTTTATGGATCCGACGCCAAACTCAATCTCTCAGAACAAGAATCAACAGATGTTGGCATAATTGAGGATGGGGATGGAGAATGTTCAGTACTTGAGGAAGCATCCATATTTAAAGATGGAAACGGCAAGTATTTAGTGTGGGATACGCCAGCCCCTAGTTTGCTTGGGGTCGATTTTCATGGAGACGCTACCACATGTTTCAATTGGAAAAATCAAACTGAAATGATGTATTTTTAATACTATTTTCTACATCCTAATTACTCTTTCCTCTCAAGTTTCTTCTTCTTTTTCATTTTAAAATTCATCCATGCACTCTCTACCTAGTATAGTTAGTTAGCAGGTTTTTTTTGAACGGCTCTAAATCGAAATTTCTGAAACAAATTCAGATTTTGGAAGGAATCTGTTACCCATATACTATTTTAATAAAATATTTAATAGTTTATTTTAAAGATCACCTATCCAGTTGGATATTTATATTTTTTTAAAAAAATATATTATTAAATGATGAAAAAGTAAAAGGTTTCGTTCAAAATTAAAATCGTTACTAACGATCTCGATCAAGTTTGAGTATATTTCACTTGTCTTTTTTTTCTTTTACCTTTTCTCTAATTTCTAGTTGGAAAAAATAGTAAAAATTGGTCGACTTATATTAGATGTCTGTATCTAATGTTTGTTGTGTAAGATGGGAACTTGGTTGAAAAGTTATTGTACTGTGGGTATTGGATTCTGTTTTATTTCGTATGATACTTAATTCAATTTTAGAAATGATAATCATATGTTACAGTGTTTTTACCTAAATTCGGAAGATATAAGATATTTTTTATTACAGAGAAGACTAAAAACATTAGTTGAGAGACGTTATCACAACTGCTTAGAGGACCAGATTGAAGTAAGACCTTATTGAATATACATCTGATTATTGAGATTCTTATTAAAAATATAAATTTTATTTCAATACAATATCTAACTTTTGATTAGAGAATAATTTTAAAAGTTTTAGTAATCATCATGTGGAGTATTATTTTTTTATTTAAATTTTTTAATAAGTAATAATACACTAAAAATATTATTGTAACTAATATTCTTGACATACAACAATGTAAAAAAATTACTAATATAAAAATATACTTCAAAGAATTTATAAAAATTTACGGTTAAAAAAAAATTGTATTTGATTGAGAAAAGTGATAAAGAGAGCTTTTAGTTATGAGATAAGAAAATATATTCAAAGCATATAAGCTATGATTTATTATCTAATAATTTATAAATGAGTCTAAATGTTGTTAAGAGTTTCCTACAGGTCTGATTTGTTCAACTTCTTTAAATTCATTAAGATTTTTTTTAAAAAAATAAAACAATGAACTCAATGGCTGACTCTGACATTCAGATTTAAACCTAAAAATCAAACATACATTGAATCTGAATTATAAAGATTCAGATCATTAAGTGTAAACAAATGAAAATTAAACATACTTAATATATTGAATCTGACTTATAAAGATTCAGATCATTAAGTGTAAACAAATGAGGTCTAAAGCAAATTGGTGACAACTTGAGTAATTTTCTTCACTAGCTAACTTCATGACTATGAATATCCCATGGTTCTTGTTTATTGGAAACTAGTGAACTTATACGCGCTTCGCACGATTATAAAAAATGATAAGTTATGAGTAATTTTATTAAGTATTATATAAATAAAGATGTGTTTGTATTATAATTGTTAGACCTTGATTTTTTATAGCAAAGAATAATATATAAATTTAATGCATAATTAATCTTTTGAGTTTTGCTAATATCCACTCCATAGGTTAATCATAATTTAATAATTTGCATCTTATTTTTTTGAGTCAAGCTAAAATATGCAAATAATAAACATAAAGAATATAAAAACAACAAAAAAAAAATAAATCAATGCGATGATTTCTGCATAATCTAACAATATCTCTCAAAAACATAATAACAAAAAAATTAAAGTGATAATTTCTATAAAATTTTGACTATCTTTATTTATAGACTATAATATCTAATATCAATATGATTATTAATTACTTTAGAAATTAGAAAAATAAAAAGTTGCTAATGTAATGAAAATAAATATCATTAAAACTTATATTAAAGAAATGACTTTTTAGTTTCTTAACATTTTATTTAATACTCTCTCCATCCGGAATTATTTGTCATATTGCGCTTATCGAAAGTCAATTTTATTAATTTTCAAAGGTAAATTAGATTACATTAATTTGATATGTTAAACAGAAAAATTAGATATTCTAAAACTACATGAAAAGTACTATAAATTACATTTTTTTGCATATTAATATGATGAAAAAATACATCTTAAAATGTTAGTCAAAGTTTTTATAGTTTGACTCTTAAAATAGAAATCATGATAAACAATTTCAGAAAGAATTGAGTTGTAAATGAAGGGGAAAAAAAGAAAATCAAAAAACAAAAAATCAATTATTAATTAATAATCAGTTATACTTTTCCAAAAATAAGAAATTCAAAAGCTACAGTTTTGCTTACATATAAAAATATATTTCTTAAATATTTCTCTTCCTTATATTTCGCTTATTACCTTTTATTTTTATAGTTTACATATATATATAAAACTAAACTCCTACTACTCAAAAAAAGATGGAAGTTTAAAAATTTAAAAAGATTAAGTTATAAATAAATTTCTGACAAATTACAAAAAAAAAAAACTTTAAAAATGAGTGTGATAGAGATTTATCAGAATTTAAAAAGTGTTTTATTTTTTAATAAATGAAAGAAAATTAGGAGAATGAAAGAAAAATTTTAGAAAAATTAACTAATAGTATTTTATTAATGATAAAAAAATAAGATATTTTAATTTTTTTCAACATTTTACAACAAATTAAAGGAAATTAATTGAGAAAAAATGGGCAGAACATATTCATGGTAATAAAAGGAGACATAAATAAAACATATATATTCACAAAAAAATAATAGAAATAGAAGGTACAATGTTAAGTTATGGAAATAAGAATCAGAGTTAAATACGTTTCTTTTTAGAAAATTATAAAAATAGAAGGTAGCAAAAAGAATTTAAATAAAAATAATAAATTGTAGTAATAATAAAGAAAAATGAAAATTAATAAATTGTTATAATGATGAGAAATTTGATATTTTTTTTAGATTTCATGGATTAGAGAAAATAAAAAATTAAAATATGTAACAAAATAAATGACTGTAAATTAAACTTAAATTTTAATTATATTACATGAAACATTTTTTTTTTTTAAAAAAACACAAATGTTCTATCAAGGTTTATTAATCAATAAAAATTAAAAAATAGTACATCTATCAATTCCAAAAGTGGAATCGATCTCAATAATCAAAAAGGAAAATAAATTATAGCACTAGCTAGATTAAAAAAAAGAAAAGTAAATAAACAAATGCAAAAGAATGACAAAAGCTTCATAGGTTTTCAAACTCCATATTCAGTCGTCTTCTTCGATCAGCAGCGCATAAATCCATGGCTATCTCGACAACATCATATTCGTCCGACTTTCATGTTTTACAAACAATCTTATGTCCAACATGTAGCAATCTAATGGTATGGTTTATATAGTATTCAAAAGTTAATGTTAAAAAACTTTTCAAATTCTCTAATTAAGTGTAAAGAATAAATTTTCTTAAATTTTACAATTAAGAAAAATGTTTTTAAGGTAAGAATTTGATAACTGAAGCTTTTATGTATGATCTAATGTGAGAATGATTAAATACTATGCTTTAATATTTACAAAAATATTAAATAATATTTTATATTTTAAAATGAAAAAATACTTTACACCAAAAATCTCCAATAAATAAATAAAATAATCCAGCCCTTAGAGGCATGCCACATCAGCAATTCTTGATTCAGATTTATATATATATATAGATTCTTCATTATACACTCAATTTCTCTTTCTTTTTTCTCTATAGAAAATGTGATCTAAGAATGAGCTAAAAAATAAAGAAGAAGATATTGACATTATTAATCTAAAAAATGTAATTAACTTTTAAAATGAACTATGCTTTATATACATACTACACAGTATTAGTACGTACTAACTAACCAACAACCTTGTGAACCCCACTAGCTAATTAACATTTTTACTAATCAACTTAATTAATTAATTAACGACAAAAGGAACTATTTAACCAATTCCTACATTCCCCCTCAAGCTGGATCTATTGAACAAGTTCAAAAATTTAAGCTTGTCAATAAGTGATTCATGTTGTGGTCTTCCAAGTGCTTTTGTCAATAGATGTGCTTGTTGGTCCTTGGTATGGATGTAATTGGTCTAAAATCAATCTTGCTTGAATCTTCTCCCGAATGAAATGACTGTCTATTTTGATGTGTTTAGTACGCTCATAGAATACAGGATTAGTAACAATCTGTATAGCTGCTTTGCTGTCACAATAAATGTTGGGTGGTGCTAATAAATTAATCCCCAACTCTTGAAACAAATTTGTAACCCAAACTATCTTTGCAGTCAGTGCTGCTAGACTTCTATACTCTCCCTCTGCAGAACTTTTGGAAATTGTGTTTTGTTTTTTAGACTTTCACGAAATCTGGGAATCACCAAACTTCAAGATAAAACTAGTAACCGATCTTTTGGTATTTGCGCAAGCTGCCCAATCTGCATCACAAAACCCTGTAAGCTGAGGCTTATGATCTGAACTCAACAATAACCCCTTACCTGGATCACCCTTAACGTATCTCACTACCCTTGAAGCTGCATTCCAATGTGAGGCCTTTGGTTGCTACATGAACTGACTCAAAAATTATACTGCAAATGCTATGTCTGGCCTTCTGTTAGTTAAGTATAATAGCTTGCAAATCAGTCTTTGTTACCTGCTTACATCTTCAAATAAATCATCATGTAAATCAGCACTCTTGTCATACTCCACACTAGTAATTTTCATTCTAGTGGTGTAGGAGCTGGTTTAGCAACTGCCAATCCTACCTCAGATATCAACTCAAGGGCATATTTTCTTTGATTCATCATCATCCCTTTATTTGATCTAAGAAATTCAATGCCTAAGAAATACTTAAGCTCTCCCAAGTCCTTGTTCTTGAAGTGACTGTGTAGCACACATTGGGTCTCTTCTATCAAATTAGCATCATCCTTTGTAATCAACAGGCCATCCACATATAGTAAAATAATAACCAGCTTGGAGCCTCTCTTTTTAGTTAATAAGGAGTAATCCAAGTGACTCTGAGT